ATATATATATATATATATACATCGACGGATTTGCAACTCCTGTCGAATCGTCCACGACCATAGACATATAAAATACCTAGATGGAATATTAGTAGAGTTTTAGGAACTCTAGCCAACGACATTTTTTTTGAATATCCCTACAACGAACGTGGTACGAATTCCCTATACTGCCTTACTTTTTCTTATCTCTATGAAACTGTACGAGCCAATAATCGAGCGCGTCGTAAAGACGCGGCCTGAGCCGGCGCGGCTTTGGTGACGTCACGTCCGGCAATAGGACGGGGATGCCGCGTAATCGGCCGCGCGTCGCGCTCTCGTCGCGATTATTGTATATCCGAGAACCCGGTCGCTTGGCGCCTTCCGCCGTCTCTCGATGCAGTGAGCGTCGGTGTACGTAAAATGGCGGACGGTGACATTGATTTGTACGCCGACGATCTCGAGCAAGATTTCGCGCAGGTAATTCGCACTTCTCTTTGAAATAGCAATAAAAGGATCGGTGGGACACGCGCGCTCTCTTTTTCTCTCTCTCTCTCTCTCTCTCTTTTTCTCTACCGAAACAATCGAAGGAAGGGAATCCACGATCGTGGAAAAATCGCGACGCGCGCTTACGCGAGGAAGGGGGGAGGAGGGAAGGACTCGCTGTCGCCGCGACTGTGAGATACACGGGACGATTAACCGTTTCGCGCGTCGGTTTCGCGAAGCTGAGTGTGTCCGGCATGTCATGGTGGTCATGGGCGACCGTTGCTAACGATCGGCTCGCGTCACCGTTCTCGTCCCCGTGAACGTTATTGTGTGTCCCCGCGAGCCGGCAAACGACTCGCTTCGACAAGGGCGCGCGCGCGCGCGTACGAACGAGCGAGCGAGCCATCAAGCACGCTCGAGAGAGACGGGCTTCGCCCTGAAGTTGTTGCCGCGCATCGTTGACCGATCGCCTGACTAGCTAGTGCCCATCTGCTGCCGTCGATTGTGCGTGCGCGCGCGCGCGCGCGCGTCTGTTTCCGTTCCCGGAGCTAAGCGCTAGCGCGAAACGCTAATACGGGTTCGCACCAGGAATTGACCG